CAGTGCGCTACTGGGTCTTTTCAATACAGGCCAGATTAGCGTGCAGCGGTATTGTATCGCTCATCTCTGGAGTGCTGGAGTACTTGTGTCCCTTGTGGTAATCCGCTCGCGCTGAATGCCACAAACAGTGGAATAATCTTTCAAAACAATGATGGATTTCCTCCGCCATTGACAACTGAAAAAATGTTAGCAATTCCCAGCAGCTCCGTCTTTTGTTCTCAGTACGGTCTTTTGTTACATGGCCCAGTTTCAGGCAACCCAGCTATGCCTACACACCCAAGGTACCCGAAAATAGGCTCCCCGGCAGGATATGGTTAATAAAATGATGGGCCAGATTCCCCCTAACGTATAGAACAACATGTTTCTTCCCATGTACAAAAAAAAGTGTCCTGTTTCGGGCACACGGTCTGCTGGGATTACGCGCAATGCCATTTGTTAAGTGTTCTTTATGTTGGAAGGGTACCCGGTATTGACATAAAATGGGTACCCGGTTCCAAAAATACCCGTAAACACACACCCCTAATTGCTGGGCATGTGTCTAATGAGGAAGATCAGGCTTCAAACGGCTTCTCAGTAAGCCTTCATTTTTTGGAGACATGATGCACAATAAATCAAGTACATGACCACTTAAAAAGGCTTAAACTGACCATCCACTGCTTTGGCAAAATTTTCCTGTCAACCACTGTGATCCATGGAGGATTTTCAGTCACGTGACTTTCTGTGTGCAGAAACGCGACCCTTCGAAGTCCCTCAGCTATCTGACGTTCATGAAAATGTCAATACAAGGGTAAAAAGCCGTCTATTAAAAAATGTACGCGCCACCGCAGACTGGGAACGTTTCCTGATCTGCCTTTGCCGGTCAAGTGACGTCACGTGAAAAACCTCTATAGGGTCACTTGTATAAAAGTACAAGACAAATAGACCTAAAAAATCCAATTGGGATTCAAAGATAAAAATCTGCTAGAAAAGCAAGTTTTGATGAACAACCCAATGGATTGACATGATCAAAGAAACATCAATGGTTAATTACAAATCAGATGGTTCATTAGAAATCAGCTGCAAAATGATAAAAAAGGCTGGACGATTGACTCTGTTGGGACCAGTGCATGAACAAGGTAGCTCAAGACAACTCCATGGCCTTTACATGGTTTCTGGAAAAAAAAAAAGGATAGCCAGGATTCGTAAAGCAGATTTGTTGACCTGCTTCCAATAACTTAGGGTGGTAACAATATCTTCTCAACGATCACATTGTGGGTGATTTTTCTCCCAAGGTCACTAGTCTTTTTTCTCAAGTCTGAAGTCCTAATTTAAATGGTAATTTCACACTTTCAAGACATTTGGTGTTTTGTGAGACATGCATGACTTTTTTGCTGATTTTTTTCCATCATCATTCAGGATGCATTAATATTTCAACTGACAAAACACACAGTATAACTTTCAAAGAAGATAAAGGCTTGAATGCAAAGTCAAATATACCCAGGTCAATTTACAAGTCGTTCTTCCAAGATGACTCAAAGTTCATATCATGTTTAACTCAAATCCATGCACACAACTCGATTCAACAATGCCCAATTAGTTTACACATTTTTTTTTTGGACTTGGTGACTTGTGACATGAACCTGTTTGCTCTTTATGGCCAATTCACACAGTAAAATTGAAACATGCTGGTTTCAATGGGGTAGTTAGGATTAGCAATGTACATTCTTCGTGGTAGATCAATTACAGCTGTGCTCAGAAACTTGCAAAATACCATGTGACAATTCTGAATTCTGAGCAGTCAGTGTATCAGTGGCAACATGGAGACAGCAAACATGCTATTTCTGAATGGGTCTGGGCCATTCATTTTATATACCATGTCCGACCCCATACTAGAATGACATCAATGACCACACTTTCTGTAGACACACTTCTCTGTGTACACAGATCCTCAGATGGGTCTTGTGATCTTACCCTCACATCAGAATGCGACATCATCGGCAAAACTCCCACCATTGCTTGGCCTTGGCACCTCATCTGCATAGGATGACAGTCTCGTCACAGGTTCTCTGCAGGATATATTTTTCGAGAGAGGACAAAAAATAAACTATCAGCTTAAATTCCAGAAACTGTTCATGAAGAAAAGGACACTCACCTAAGTATTTCAGTGTACTGCATTAGACTTTGGTGGATATCACAAAGTAAGCAGACCAGAATTCTCAATTTAAAAAAAAAGGCAAAGTTGAACATGAAAGTAGAGTTGCTAACTGCAAACTGGAAGTCGCAACTGTGTTTGCCATTTTAGTAAAAAAAATTATTACGCAGAATGTAAAGTTTATAAAAAGAACAAAGAAAACTTGTAACACAAACATTTGAACTCTCATTTGTTTAAAATCTTCAATTCAGATTCAAGCTGCAAAAGAAAGAGGCAATCCTTTTAATTTTCTGTAACCATATACCCTTCCGGTTTGCCTTGGTAAGGGGTTGGTATAGTGATTGTACAACAATATTCTAAGAAATGCAAACAATTAAAAATTCACGTCACGGAAAAACAAAGCATTTCCATTTCACCCTTAAGGGCCCTAGTAATTTTGAACAAAAAAGAAAAAAAGTTCAGACTGCTCAGAAACTGTCTCATTCTGTTGTCAACACTCAAACATTGCACGAAAAATGTTCCCAACAGTCACTCGGTGAAACCGTTAGGATACATGTAGCTCACGTTACCTGCCAATGGAGATCCGTATTGGGGGGGCAAATCGTAAACGGAATCGGACACGAGCTTCCGACTTGTACGGCTAAAATGTCACACGGCATCCACGGCATCTGCTATGTCACAACGTCTTTCAAAAATGGTCTTGAGGGGGACCGGACCGGCTGCCGCAGTGCCGTCTGCCGTGTCAATGTTTTGCCAACCGTACGAACATGGCACACAATCTGACAGATACCTTGACAATTCCGGCCGTCAGTGTCTTCTACTGTGGTAGTGATTCTTAATGACATAGCCAAGGCAGTACAGATTACTTGACAATACATGTATAAGGTGACTGACATGGTCAACTTCCAGGTCAACGCTATTCCAACCGCACGAACGTGGCGCACAGTTTGATGGATAACTGGACGATTGCGTCTGTCAATGTATTCACGGAGTCATTGAGTAGATATTCTACCACGTAACTGTGGTGGTCAAATTTCAAGAGAATGACAAGGTCATCTACCACGTCGATGGTATTCCTCAATGCGCACAATATCACAGAAACGATCTGACGCAGCAATTCTGAGACTTAACAGCAAAAGTTACATTTTAATTTCTAAAACAACACAATGGTGATGATAAACTGCAGTTCAGGTTACGTTTGATTGCTTTACGTGGTCGCATATGGGTACACTTGCCACAAATTTCACTAAAACTATCACAGGCAAAGACTTAATCTACAGTAATGAACCAGACTTGTTTCTACTGCAGATTTTTCCAGTTTTCTGCACTTTCAGAAAGATTGAACAATAAAAACATTATCAAAAATGACAGCATAAAACACATAAATCTAACAAGTGCTATTTACAGCAGGGACACAACTGGAGTGGTCATTTTGTATGCTTCCCTAAAAAAAAAAAAAAATCAGTTGGTTTATACCACTCGGTACAGTGAATACGCACAGGAACGCCCTGATACAAGATGACCATTGACATAAATACATCACAAAAAAAAGAAAGTAACCACTTTCTTTGCAGGGCGCGGCATTTAATTTCCAGAACCACAAAGAAACTAATCAAGTCAGATTGACTCTACACTTCCTTCCACACTTTTAACATCTCACCCTTTTACAGTAGCACCGACACTGATGAAGCAGTGGTCATCTGAATGCTGAACAAAAATAGATTCTATTCCTACACTGAGCCCTGTACCCAATAAATAAGATAAGGAACAGTCTACCACTTCTACGGCATACGTGCATATTATGAACACTGCCAACTTTGGAATGATTGCATGTGCTTTTACAATATCATTATACATGCCAGCCTAACTCTGGTAGATTGTGATTGAAAAGCACGTTGGATCCACGGACAGCTACATTTCTCGGCTAAGCAAACTTCGTGAATAGGATTACTGGTTACTGTCACCAGTTAAGGGAGGGTGTTCGAAACAGAGGGCACAACGAGATGAGATTGTCATGGAGAGAGAGAGAAGTGAGAGACTGTTTCTCATTATTAATTTCATAGGTGTAAAGCTAAGTGCAACGACGGAATCACTAATTCATCAGAATCGGTGCCACTGTGACAGGGCAAGATGTCAAAAGTGTGGAAGGAAATGGCAGTTCAATCCCACTTGATTATCTTCAGTTGGATTCTAAGAATTAAATGCAGGGTCTCACATAATAAGTGGCTACTTTCTTGTTGTGTCGTATTTCTAACAGAACAATGTCTTCCATTTGAATTTAAAAGTATTTTATACATCAGTTCTGTATCGGCTTAGACGAATTCTTAACTTCTCATCAAACATTCCATCCCCAAACAAAAACTATTGAACACTAAAGTATGGTTCAGGGGAGAAGCATGGATTTTAAACTTTTTCTTTTAATTCAAATTTGGTGAGGCTCGAGTGCGCAAGAATCAACTTTTCACAGGTGCAAAAAGAAAGGACAAAATCCAAGCATTTCTGTGCTCCAGAAGTTAAATGTATATTGAACACACACAAAACAATGCAAAAGCAATCAAGGGCTCGCTGACCACGCCACAATGTACTTCCTTCAATGAAATAGTTGAATCTTTTCTAACAACTGATTAATACATTAACCCTTCTATGCTGAAGTCCCTCTTTGGGTCA